GCGCGAGGAGAAATCAAGAGTTTCCCTGACAGTCATTTCAGAGATATGTAGATCATATTGACTTATATAAGCTGAAGTTTTCTGCACCACAAACTCTTCCAATTTATAACCGTTGTATGAAATCTCACCTGTAACCTGTGGAACAAAAGACAGACACCCTTCTTTTGTCACAATAGCAATTCCAGATGAAGAATACATTTCATTAAGACTGCTCTATGTTGTCACTGGATTAGATATTAAACAAACAAAAGGTAGAATAACTGTGGTCGATTATGAATTCTCTGATTATGGAACTCTCAACATAATATAATAACAATAAGGACAAATGGATTACTTCATAATGTAACGGAAAACTGGTTGGCTTCTAGTACACAAGAATAACGAAGTCACAAGATAAACTATATTAAGCTACTCTGATTCAAACCAGGAAAGCTTTTCAAGCTTTTTTGTACTGTCAATTACGCATATTTGCCAAGGAAAATTACTTTAAACATGTCTACAAATATGCGATTTATCCGTTAACATACACATACGGAGAGAGACCTTTAGTGATTTGTTCAAATTTCCGGAGAGAGCTTTCAATAATGTGGTCTTTCCACACCCAGGCGGACCAAGTAGCAGAGTCATTCTGTAACAAATAAAAACTCATCAATCCAGTATTTGAAAATATAATTCAACAAGCTAAATTTGATTTAAACGATTGCCGCCAATAGAACACCATTTTCTGTTTCCAAACGCGACGTTTAAGTAGAGAACTACTAGAAGGCAAATGCATTATGGTGTGCAAAGAGACTGTTAGAGCGTTAGTAGCACGACATAGCTGTTATTTGTATTATGCATGCATGTGTGTAAAAAGTATATTTGTTTGTCAATCAAACCCTTCAAGGATATTTTTACTTCATCAGTAACTTCTTATCAATATATTGTCAAGTTTCAGATTATCCACATAGAAACTAGAAACATTCTATCTTAAGATAAAACAGCAAGTGGACTGAAGACATATGAGACAACAGAAAAGACAGATGAAGCTATGAGGAAACCATGACAGACAGGTAACAAAAATGCTGTGTTGTATAGAACATCAATTGCGAGCTCAAAGTGGTCGAAGCAATTCTATCTGTACCAATATATGTTAATTGAAAGCTTAAGCACTATACCTTCCTGGCTTAATGATTCCACTAACATCATTAATGATGCTGATCTTCGCATCTTGTTGTGTTGGTAAACCTGGAAGCCTGGCAAGATCCTGTTAAATGAAAAAGAGGTTTGATTCAGTGCACGCAAAAATAACTAGGACAGTAAAAATTTGTACACACAAGTGATTCTTTTTTCATCTCATACAACCAGAGATATGAGATATGTATCAAATATCAAATGTCTTCCCTTCTATATTTTCTGTAAGATGATTAATTACTTACCTGAAAAACATAGAAAATGTTCCATGAAACAAAAATAATAATAATAATAATAATAATACTTGTTGACAAAGGGATACTCGAATGAATTTCCGCACAGATATACAATTGGAGTCACATAAATAAATGTAGAGCTGAGGAGTAGACAACAGTCCTAATATTCGTGCAGTTCAGATTAGCTTAATCAGACGAAAGTTAATAGAAGATAGATTTATCCAAGGTCATTAAACTATAATACAAACCAACTGATGAGGACATCCAAGTTTTTATTACTTTAGTTGGACGACGTTTAATTATTTCAGTTGGACTTTTATTTCTTAGTTGGACTTGGGTTATTTTATTTTTATGGACTTGTGTCATGGGCTTGGCCCTATCTTTTAGGTTTTTAGGTTTGCAGTATTTTCAGTATTTAAACCTATTTTACATTGTAATTGGGATGATGAATTGATTGAATAAAATTGCTATAGCCCTCGTTTCCTTCCCATCTTCTTCTTCCTCCCTTTCTCTGTGTTTCTCCCTCCCCTCACCTCTTCTTGTTATTCTTGCTGAGTTACTTATTATTGGTTTATTCTCCCTGCATCACCAACATTAGCACAGCACAAGTACCAGCCAAGGACAAATTTCATAGCCGGTACCCTCGGTTGTTCTATATATATAGAACAAATGGTCGATTAACTAAAGATACTTCGAATAAAATGCAAAAGTACAACTACATACCAAGATTATGCCTTTTAGAGAATTCCAAAGAGTTGGGAGGGGCTTTCCATAAACAACCTCACACTCTGCTTCTATGGACAAATTGGTGTATCTGACTTCAATTGAAGGCAATTTTACCCCAGCTCTGAAAAATCAAACACTTACTATATAGTATTCACAACAAGATAAAACACCTAAAGAATTTTAATATTCCAGGACGAAAATGTATTTAATCATAAAAGGGTATGTAAGTAGCTGACAAAATCATTTTAGCAGTTTACGGTGTTTACCTGTCAATTCTCTTTCTGATTTTCTGCAGCAGGCGCAGGTTGTCGTGTTCAATGTGTTTAATGAGCTTCTCAATGAACATGTGCCTTTCCGGAGCACCAAGCTTAGTAACATCAACCACTCGTCTTCCTTTGCCATCAGCTTCATTTCCATCAAACAAAGAGGTTCTTAACCGTTCAAACGTTGGCAGTCTGTCGATAGCAGACCATTGTAAGACAGATTCATTATCAGGATCAACATCGTTTCCAAAGCTTATTGCTGAATTGCTTCGAAAACTGGCAGTGTGACGCTGAAATGATGATCTTAAGCTTCTTCCTATCTCCGATAGCTCTATTCTGAAGGATTCTATTTCATCTGCACCAACTAACTGAGCCATGATGGCATGGACAATCTACTTCAGCTTCAGATATATATATTATATATATACTGATATACATACATACATACATAGATATATGTGTATATTATTGGAACATTGAATTTAGAGAACTTCTAAGCATGCAGATTTATTTTATTTCCTTTATTCTATCACATATGCTGGGTCTTTAGCCTACGAAACTTGATGAGGTAAGGCATTACATCATTCTTTTTTTTTTTTTCTTTTTTTTAAAAGTAAATTATCATTTTATTAATTAAAAGAGATTACACGGAATGTGTACAATTACTTTAAGCAAGAGAGGAACAATATGAAATTAGGCAACCCTTCTACAAGATTTTTAGTCGCAGCATTAAACCAATTATACAAAGTCAAATAAAACATTACATCATTCTTATCCCAAAAAATAAAAATTTAATAATTTTGACTGGTGCACTGATGATATAGAGCATGTACGGGTACCGATTATAAGCATGATTTAGGGGGGAAAATGCGAGATATGCTAACAATCTAATATAAAGAGGCATTGGTATGATTAAATACAAAGTTTTGTTGCAAAATATGGCCAGATTGAGGAGAGATTTGGATTGTAGTGAAGATTTTCCGAACATACAACTCTCATTTACGAGTTGGTTGACTTTCCTGTTAAATAAATGCAACATTGAAATTGTAGCAAAACTGTAAATTTCATAGCTTAAGCAAGAAGGCTGTTCCATAGAAGAAGCATATAATATTCGAATATATAATACTATAACTATTTGACTATTTATGGCTAGCTCAGCAGCTACATTTCTTTATGCTTCAGGATGAAGTAATAACTTGAGATGCACAATATGATGACTGGATATGAACTATTTTATATTACAGAGTCCAGCAGAATATGGTCACGAGCATCAAACAACTCGGGGAGTCAATATCTAAAGTTAATTGTATAGAATAAAGATATCGAAGAATTACTATTACTACCTTTTGGTAACATCAGTTTATGGCTGAGTAAAAATATCATGCATTAGAAGGCAGTTAAATACAGAACAGTGAATCCCATCTTTGGCGATTTTTACAAGTTCAGACGACAGAATTCACGTAAATAGAGATTTCTTAATTAAAATCAAGTTTCAGATTCCATAGTGTTGGCTTAAATTTAATTACACTGGAAACAAAAAACTTCATGGAAACTATAACGTCAATGGAGCTTGAATCAAGATTCTAGCATTTAAGAGAGGGAGGAGGATACGCAAAGGAAGTTGACTAAATTAAAATGAAGTTTTCGTTGTTCAATGATACAAAATGATGAGCTAAGCTATTTCATCATTGATGTTTATCCTAACTAGTAACTGCTACTCTTGCCATAAACAATGTTTTTTCTTTTCTTTAAACCAAAATGGATATTAATTCAATAACTTCAGCCAAAACTACATTCCGCTACTGCATTACAATTAATTCATTAATATTGAGGTAAATTCAGAGGGGTAGTTCAGTGGTCAGACTTTGGGTTTGCTCCCCAATGGTCACCAGTTCGAGTCCTCTCAGGGCCACTAAGGTGAGTATCCGACTGTAAATTTCAGGGTTCCATGGGATTAGTCGAGGTGCGCGTAAGCTGGCCGGACACCCATGGTTATCAATAAAAAAAATTAATATTGAGGTAGGTAGTTGCCTTGGCAAGCAAGAATAACTGGCGGACGAGACTTGTTGAGAAAATCTATAAAACAATTATATTCTGCTCCTTCATATATTCATTTCTCTTTCTTGTTAGTCCTAACACATACTGATAATAAAAAGATCGAAATAGTAGACGGCGGAAAAGGAACGGTATCACGAAGCGACAGCGTGGACTTCGTCCATCCTCCAGCCACGGCAGCAGACAGGATTGGACAGACATACAAGCCAGGATATGCAAACTCCTGAACGAATTTACCAAACTTTTTGGCCATTTAACCCAAAAGGAAAGACTCCCGCCAAGAAGAATTAGGGCATCACCATAGTTGATAATTGTGCTTTTTTATACCATATCTGCCTAGACATGATCGCCACCCCCAACAACCAGTTTTCCCTTGACATATTAAAACTAATTGTTGAGTGTAAACACGGGTTAAATTGACGAGATTGCAATTTTGTATTGTAGAATAACACACTAAACACCTCGGCTGCTTCAAAAAAAAAATTCAGATACCTATCCTATTTCAACTATCGCAAATTTTCTTAAAACCCCGTAAAAATCCATTACAAAAAGGCGACAAGAAAATATTACAACATAGAAAACCAAATACGTGATATTTAATTATATCTCGTATATGTAGTTATTACATAAAATGGCAGTCGAACGACGAACATATTAGTACAAGTTAAATAAGTCCAAATGAGTACAATGTTTCACCTCTTCTGAAAGTTCAACTTCCCAATACAATATGCAAATAGAGAAGCAAAAAGAATGGGAAACAAAATCGAAACAACAGCCACAACTGGTAACTCACTATGGTGAAATCCATAATAATCTCTCAGAAATGCTGATACTGTTTTGGATTCTCCAAACACCATAATTTCCTCTTCTATGTCTCCATATTGTGAAGTAAGCATACCATTTAATGTCCAAGAAGTAGGAATCAAATAATAAAACCAGATCCACCATTTAGGAATTTGCTGCCGGCGTAGAAAGATACGATTTATTAGTACACTTTTACAATCAAGCATTTGCATATAACAACTTTGGTGAAGGTTAAGTCACAAAGCAGACAAGAATCCAGTTCGAGGAAATAAATGCTTACCGGTCGAGGAATCAAGAAACCAGAGAACAGGTTGAACATTGTGTAAAAAGTTGACTGTAGAATGGCAGCTATTGGAAAGCTTGGTGTCATTGAAATTAAAAGCATTCCGAGATACGTGAAGTATAGCAGTGAACAGAACATAGAGTAAAAATACCAGAAGACCTTGTATGCTGACCAGTAATATCCAATCATTGGATAAGTGATGACTGTAAATGCAAGTGCTTGGGCTAAGAGATATGGAATCTCAATAATGACCTACAAAATCAAGAGAGCTAATGAATAATTCTTTAGATTGATGAAACTACAACATTAATAATCATTTCACATTGTTTATAATATGTATAATGCTTGAAACTGAGGAACAATTAAAACTTTAACTAGTCAATACTAGTCATTTCCAGTGACGAGTTTTGAAAATGAAAAAGTTCTTCCCTCCTTTCCTCTGAGTCTTTTTTATGACGGAAAAGACAATTCTCCTCATTCATATATTGCTAAATTAATGATACAGGTCGGTTTGAGGTTTCAAAGATGAGGTCGCCAAAATAAAGGCAGGCTCACCAAAATTGTCTACAATTTCATAGTTTTGCAAATAAGGGATGCAATTATCTTCCTAAATTACAGATCAATATTAAGGTGAAACTTTATTTGTTGGATATAATCAAGTATACAAGTAACTTAATATATCCGGAGTAATTATACCTGTGCAGCTGGATAAACCCATGAAGCATACATTCCAGCAAATCTTTCTCTGTAGAAAACAGTTCGCTCTGTGCTAACATATGACAACACCGAAGATGAATTATTTATGCCACAAAAGAGTGTGGCACTGAACATTGAACCAAGCACAGTGAACAGACTCTGTTGAGTATGTCTACAAAAACAGATAAAAGCAATGAATTTAGACTCGACAAGAATTTTTGGATGACAAAACTTATATGAAATTCAGACTGCCAGAATTTAGACAATCGATTTCGCGCATGGTACATTCTCCTATGAGAGAAATGTAGCGTCACACTCAGTGAAAAAAATCCAGTCTCAAGTAAATCAATTATCAAGAGATTTTGACCGCTCCTCCCCTCTTAAAAAGTGAAAGATGGAATAGATTTAAAAAAAAAATGTCCTTCAATTTTTGAGAAGATGACTAATCAAGATACCAAGTTTTGCGCTACATGATTTACTTACATTTTCTTCCCCTGATCCCAAAATAAGAATCCAAAAAGCAAAGACGAGAATAGCATATAAATTGAGCGCATCAAGTTGTATGAAGGACTTCTCCAGTAAGACCAGTGCTGCTTCCAGAGGCAGGATTTGAACTGTCGCCAATCACTTTGTGAATAGCGGGTGGGGAAATGCAAATCTTGTGAACCAGGAGGCGGGGTGCTTATCTTTCTTACAAGCTGTTTATTATACCTAGGAGAAATATAACAGAAAAAAAATTTGTGCTCAACATAAGTATAACACGCCAAAAAGTTGATCCCCAATAATATGAGTAAATTGATACATGATGCTTCACAATATCTTAATAACCACTGGATAAACAGCACTATAAATCATTTAAGAGAAACGGAATATTGAAAAATGTACTATCTAATGATCTGAAACTGAAGTCCTCAATTAAATATGATGGACCTCCTGCTTGCCAACTAGGGGAACCCCTTAATAGGGTGGCAAAAGACCTATTTCAAGAACCCCCTGCCTTCAACCCACTCGAATTTTAAAGTAAGGGGAGGGTAATTGAATAATTTCAATTACCGTGAAACATCAATGTATGTTATTAACTGTTGGAGCACAAGATGTTACATTGCCTTGGGAAAACCATATTAACTATGCTGTATATATTTGGCATGTATGCTGTAGACCACTCGTAAACTAATTTCCTTCATATTTTACATGATGTTTTATATGGTAACCGAGTAAAATCAAGTTCCTCTGATGATGGCACAGACAGCGTCTTGCCAAGATTCAGTCAACAACAACAATGAAAAGGACAATCTTTCATAATTTTAGACAGATAATGAAAAGAAATTATCAAAAGTCTTCATCAAAGAAAATTTTATAATTTGAATTTCTCAAGAAACACAAGAAATTGCTTCTTCTTGTGAATCTCTCTTGATATCATTTTCTAATTACAATAATAATCCAATTTTTCCAAGTGAAAGGCATTTTCTTGAATATTTAGGATACGCAAATTAGTAACCAACAGTTTTTTGCGTTCTCCATCCTTTGTACAGCCTAAGCAATGTACCAACTATGAAATAGCGGTTACTGAGAACATCAAACATGAGAATGATCCTAAAAACTTGGGAAAGAAAAAGCTGATTACTAAAATACTAGCATCAATTGTCAAGGATAATTTGTTCATACATATAACAGAAAAGCTCTGGGCCATTTGACTCACTCGTACAAGGCAGATTGTTTATAAACCATGGCAAAGTCTACACCAAGTTCAGCTTCTGAAGAAGTGGAAGAGACCTCTAACATCCATGTAGCTGGATTGTAGTTATTTCTAATTTTTGGTACGCCAGAGATGCCCTGTTACAGAGTCGAAATGATAGAGATAAACAAGATCTCTAATGTTGAAGAAATAAGCATATACTTCAAGCCAGTAGGGAAAGGTGGCGATACAAAGTCCCATGGAGGTACTGCCTTGAGAACTCACCTCAAAATATTCAATTAATTTAGAGGAATCCTGACCTAACGGCCCACAGTAGATCATGCGTCCTCCAGCTTTCAAAAGAACTAACTGTAGGCATAAGGAAACGTTAGTGATACTACAGTGATACGTATCAACCCTATCAATCACACGTACATAGAATTTATTGTTCAAAATTTGTTCTTGAAAGTAACACTTCATTCAATTCATAACCAATCTGACATCTTTATAACCTTAAAAGATCTTCCACTGAAAAATGTACGTAAAACTTCTTATCATGCAATGCACATGAATATCAATATAAACACTTTGAGGTATAACCCATCAATAATAAGCAGCATATCCTATACTTAAACAGAGCCGGAATAGGCTTTAATTTTCAGATCATCAGTGGGAGAATTTATTGGATCAACTCAGTTGAGACAGAATGTTATAGCTTGTGCTCTAAAGATGAATATTTATTCATTGAATTTCATTTGCCGATGAAAAATGGGTTAGGGGTTGGAGTGGAACGTGTTTTATATGTTGAAGAATGTAAAAATGGAAATGAAGATTGACTTGATAAGCTTCTGTAGATAGTATTTCAACAGTCCGCAGAAGTGCATATTATGTACTGGACTGGACCTTTGCTCGTACAATGGAATCAAAAGATGCATTTTTAACAAAACCTTTTTTCTGTAATATCAAAAAATCCCTCTCCATGCGCAGAGTAATTTATAGTCAGTTACCTCATTAAATGATTCAAATATATCGATACTCGGTTGGTGAATGGTGCAAACTATCGTCCTCCCAGTATTTGCCACGTTTTTTACTGCCCGCATGACAATTGCAGCTGCTCTAGCATCCAGTCCAGTTGTTGGTTCATCCATAAAGATAATAGAAGGGTTAGCAACGAGTTCCACAGCTATTGTGAGCCGCTTGCGTTGCTCAGTTGACAGGCCGCTAACCCCAGGCATGCCCACTAATGCATCTTTAATTTCATCAAGCTCAATCGTTTCAAGGACTTCTTTCACAAAGTCCTATGGATGGCCAGAAAGAATTAAATAAGTACACTAATAGGAAATGGAAGCAAACCAGACAGAATATTGAATATAACATCTAATGGCATATACATATTTTGTCTTTGAATCAATCTGGGGATGAAGACGCAGCCATGCAGAAAAGATGAGTGATTCTTCAACAGTAATTTGAGGAGAATGTATGTCAGTTTGCTCACAGTAACCCGAAATCCTAGAGAATGTTCTTTGGACTTTCGGATAACCTCCAATTTTTATTTCTCCTTCCACAGTGCCGCTAGTTTTTCTACCAGAAAGAACATCAAGAAGAGTTGTTTTGCCAGCCCCACTGACACCCATTAGTGCTGTAAGAATACCAGGTCTAAATGAACCAGTGATATCACAAAGAAGTTGCAGCTTTTTCTGAGTGAAACCTCGCTCCTTCATTGCCTGAAAAAGAACCAATGGAAAGAAGGTACACCTAAATTGTACTGGCTCGTTTGGTATACTAAATAACCAAAAACAATTCTAATTCGATTAATTAACGTGGTTACCATAGGGGTTTCAACATAGTATTGCACATCTTGAAACACTAGGGTGAGGGGTTCAAAGGGTAAAACCATTCTGTCTGCAACATAAGAAACATCCCTTTAAGTATGGCAAGAAACAATTTAACAAAATAATGTGGCATATAATTAAATTCTCGAATCAAGGATAATATAGTGTCAGAAGCAAAATAAGAGATAAAATCCAACCTCTATGAGATTTTGTACTGGTACCAGGGGATTTTTTGGACTGTTCTTCTGCTTGGGCTTGGCTATCATATTCGTTACTTCCTTGTAGTTGAGAGAACTTTTCGCTTGAAACAATTGCACGAGAAACAGAAGCTGGACGCATTTTGGAATTAGAAAAAATCATGTAAACCATTTACATTTCTATATTCTGAAGATGTTCTTACGTTTGGAGAAGCTTAGGGCCAAGGTAAACCCAATGTTGAACAGTACTATAAACCCAAAAAGTGCACCAACTGATATCCAATAAAGATGTCCACCGAAGCTTAACCCACGGCTTTCAAGTGTTTCTTGTCCTACTGTTGTGTTACCAGACAGCTCCTGCAATTAAAGAAAATTTATACGCATGCGATTATCAATCTTCTACAAAATAATCAAAAACAACTACGAATCCCCGGAGACATTAATAAAGTGCATGCATGAGCATCAAAGTCCATGCTACCGACCAAGAAGTATCATCGATTAACCATAGGTCCACTGTGAATCATTCATATAATAGTTTTGGAACTTTACAGTGACAACACATGATAACACCATAACACGTCTGTTCAAGGAAAAATAGCATGCATAGCAGGAATCTTGAAAAACGAGACTTCAATCAAGTTGATGTGCCCTCTTAATGAAAAAAGATGTTAGGTGGATGCAGTAATAATTGATTCCAAGTCATCCTATGAAATTGGCAGTCAAATGGTTGCCAGTTGGTGACTTTCGCATTTGTTCCCTGTTACATGCATGAGAATTACAGAAAACAAAGAAAGAATGACACGGTCAACAGGGTGCTCTATACAAGTATTATCTTAGAAAGGGGAGTGGATAAATATGACAGTATGAATTCACATTTGGGTAATTAGAATCTTATTAGATTGTGATTGATTTTAAAATTTACATATAGATGTTATTGACAAGTTGCACAGTAGAAAGAAACAAATAACCTAGAAAGATGGAAGTTATCCTATATAAGTGATTGAGTAAATATTTTTATAAACAATAACTAAGCTTTTTTCTTGTCTGAAAAGGAGTTAACGTTTATCAACTTAATAGAAGCAAACAAATCCTGGTATTATGCATACTCACCTTGTGCCATCTAGGAGCAAGAAATTCATTCAACGCAAGCCCTATCTCCCCATACGATAGTGGAGAAACCCAAAATGCCCATTTTAACCAAATCGGCATGGATTCTGCAAGAAACAGTATAGTTGAGCTCCCTTATCCTTTTTTCTATTGTTTAGAGCAAAACGTATACATGAATAAATTATGACAAACGATAAAAATAGATAAAGATGTTGAGCTTCCTCACGTTTTGGGATCAAAAAGCCACCAAAGAGTAACAGAAATAGTATTGACAAACTACCAGCTGTTGTAGATACCACCACTGTCCGGCAGACAGATGCCAAGAAACGGAACATAGATATTGAGGTGAAGTGCACTTCGAATAATATTATCATTTGGCGGAAAAACCTGGAAAATAATGACATTTAGTTAAAATTCAATTCATTATTATAATATGATCGTTTTTTTTTATCTTGTTGAGTTGTTAATTGAAACTACTGAATCGCATGGATTATGTAGAACATTCGAGAAATCTAATGTGTTACTAACCTCCCTGCCTCTGGGCTATACCCAATAGTGTAATAAGTGAGAGAAGTCCATACTACAGATTCCAACAATGAGAGAGGAATCTTGAGAATAGTGGCTGGAATCGCATATGCCCAGGCTGGGTAGAAGTACAAATCTCTCTGTTTGTGGAAAACGGCAAGTCTTGCAACAGTCATATTGAGCTCCGGAAAACCATCAACAAGAAGAATGATAAGAGAATAAAATATAGACCCCAAGTAATAGTTGGCATGGACAAGATCAATATCCATCTGAGTCCGCAAGAACACGGTCATAGTTATTGATGCAATAATGACAAGCTGCAAGCAAATATTTACACAAGATTTTCATACACAAGAACTATTAAATAAATGAAAGTCGGAATTTGTATTGCCAGTGGCGCGTGAATAAAATTAAGGAGCTAAGAGAAATAGTTGTCCTAACCTGAACAGATTTGAATACATAAACGAAAGAATTCCTTTTCATGAGAAGAATTTCTCTGGACATACAGGCTTTAAAGAGATCCCATTTAGGAAGAGAATACACATCAAAACTAATGGCTTTATTGTCGCTCTTAAACTTCTCAAAAGGCACAGAAAGCTCGTTGCTAAGCTTCTTTCCATAAGGAGACTCCTTATATCTCCTAGACAATGTATCAACAGAAACGAAACTGTAAGTATGCTCAGTTTTACACCAATATTGTTCCTGATCTTTCCTGGAGATAACCTGCAAACCAATCAACATATAATCATTTTACTTACTGAAGAAAACTCTAAAAGAATATTAGTAATGACATGATGAACTTACCTCCTGCAGAAAATCAGAGAGTGCTTTCCTTTCAGGACACCTAAATCCACAATCCTCAAAAAATTCTAAAATATCACATTGAGGCCCATGATAGACAATCTTCCCCTCTGACATCAAGATGATGTCATCAAAAAGATCAAAAGTTTCTGGTGCAGGCTGGAGAAGGGACACAAGTACAGTAGCATCTGTGATATGTGCTAATTGTTGAAGGCAAGCAACAACTTGATATGTAGTCGAGCTGTCCAAGCCATTTGAAATTTCATCCATAAACAATGCTTTTGTTGGTCCAACAATCATCTCGCCTGCATAACTCAACATTACATACTCCTTAATACACATGATTTTTGCAAAATTATTTTTGAGTTCAGATGTTGCTGGTGGTTGGAATAATTTTGAGCCTGTTTAGTATATCAAAAAAATAATAATAATAAAAATATATAAAATATTAGCATCAAATTACCTGCGGTCACTCTTTTCTTCTGACCTCCAGATATACCTCTCCTCATGGCATCTCCAACAAATGTGTCGGCACAGATATCAACTCCGAGAATCTGAAATTTGAGGAATAATAGGACAGACTTTCAAAATATAGTGTTCTAGAACAAGACAGCAAAAATAAATTCAAAGCTACATCAAGTCAGAGAATACTTTTAATATGTAGTCTGTCTGAAGACTTGTCTTTTGTCCTTCCACAGCAATTGCCTGCACAAATATGCGGCGTTAGCACACTACAGTATTTAAGCTTAGCAACTCAGTGAAGATCATTGGTGAATTATGGAGAGATTCTTCACTCAAACTAATTTTAATTGAATGCAATAGACTCAGGTATAAGTGTTGAGGTAGGTTGTGTAGCTAAGAGTTTTTTTTTTTTTTTTTTTTTTTTTAATAACTAATCAAGTAATTTTATTTGTAGCTATGAGATTTAATTGCCTATTTTCAAACCAAAAGGGGTAATTATCAAGTTTCTAACACAGATGTGGTGCTAATTTATGTTTTTCGCAAACTTCATAAAGAACTAATAAGTAAAGGTATTATTAAAGAAGATGCAGAAGGCAAGTTGTAATGGATATTTTTTCCTAAACGTACAATGTTTCTTCCATATTTCAATTAGAAATTCTAGTCCTAGCGCCAGAGTATACTCATGACTCGTATGATAAATCAATGGCCTTAAAATGATGAACTCAGAAAACTTATAAAAAGGAAGGATTGCTAAAGTTTTTCATCATTTTCATAATACACCCTACCTATGAGCATACACCTCAAGCGCTAAATGAACTGAGCACTCAATCAAGATTTCTAGGAGAATCGCTCAAGGGTGAATAAACACACTAACTTCATGACTCCAGAAAAATGAAAGGTAGATATCAGCCACTAAAAATACCTTCATATAAGTATCTATATCTGGATCTGGAACAATTTTTGCTTCTTTCTCCTTTCTAGTAAGCACCGTCAAAATTTCTTTAGGAAAAAAAGAAAAAAGGAAATCACGTCACTTATTGTTATGAAAATAAGTTCAAAAAACAAATGGGTATTTATATTTTGCAGGACACACCTCCCCTGCTTCCAATACCCTGACATCGTGATGAAAAATCAAGGGTTTCCCTGACAGTCATTTCAGGGATATGTAGATCATATTGACTTATATAAGCTGAAGTTTTCTGTGCCACAAACTCTTCCAATTTATAGCCGTTGTATGAAATCTCACCAGTAACCTGTGGAAGGAAAGACAAACTCTTCTGTTGTCATATAGCAGTTTCAGATGATGTATACATTTCATCAGCACTGTTAACAACTCTCACTGATGTTTCCGCTGTTGACACTGGATTAGATATTAAAGAAACAGTAATTATGGATATTAATATTCGTATTATGATTCGAGAAATGAAATTACTTCATGACATAACAAAGAACAGGATGACTTCTAGCATATAGAAAAACAAAGCTACAAGATAAAATATATTAAGTTACTTCACGCCAAACCAGTTTAGGTTTTCAAGCTTTTTTGCATTGTCAACTATGCATATTTGCTAAGATTGTGATTGATCAGAAAAGTATTTTAAACAAATTTTCAAATACGTTTTTATCAACTGTGGGATGGCCAGAGACAGAAAGAGAGACGGGCACCTTGAGTGATTTGTTCAAATTTCCAGAGAGAGCTTTCAGTAATGTGGTCTTTCCACACCCAGGAGGACCAAGCAGCAGAGTCATTCTGCAACAACAAAACTCCTAATGTATCAAGTATTTGAAAAGCTAATTCAACAAGATAAATTTGATGAAAGGATCAATTACATATAGAAGCCAACTTCTGCTTCCAACATGATATTGAAGTACAAAACTACTACAAGGTAGCCGCACTCTCATGTGTAACTTGACTATAGTAGAAGCTACAATAGCCCGAACTAGCAGTTAGTATGTGTACACAAATACAACATACATATAAGTAAATCTGTTAGTGAACCTAAGAGAATATTTTCAATCTATCAAGAGAAATCTTAGGCTGTACAAAGAATATCCTGATCAATATATTATCAAGTAAAGCTTCAAATTCTTGAATTAGAAACTGAAAGTATTCAATCTTATGAAAAAAAAATTGGAGAAGTTTAGACTTGCTGTGCTTATCAGTATAAATTAGGTAGTAAATGAGTTCAAAGTTTTGTTTTTATGATTCTTCTTTTTCTCTCTCTTTAAAAGGCTTTTGATTTTTGTATATTACATTAAGCCCCTGTTTGGTGGCCATTATTTCCATTTTAAAGATTTTTGAATAGTATTTTTTGGAGAACGCGTGGTTAAAAAATAAAGAAAAGTTTTGGGTTTACGTATACAATATTTTATTGTGTAAATGTGTGGTTAAAAATGATCCTATAGAAAAAAGAGTTTTAAAACAATGGGAATCAAACAGGGGCTAATACTGATAGAAGCTTTTAACTTCAGCAGGACTGTGCATGCATGCAACGATCAGATAATTATTCTAGAAGGCATGTGGTAAAACAAGAGTCCCTCAAGTAACTCTGAAACAGTTAAATCTTTTAGAGCTGTTACCAGCAAAAGAATGTCAAGAATGGTGATTGGTGAGATTAAGAAACAAATCAAGATAGAATTCAATTGAAGTTTTAACAATTGTAGTGCAAAAAGTAGATAGATAGAAAGTTGAAGTCTTAACAATTGTACCTTCCTGGTTTAATGATACCACTAACACCATTTATGATGCCTATCTTAGCCTCTTGTTTTGACTGTAAACAAGGAAGCCTGGCAAGCTCCTGTCAAATGTAATGGAGTATGATTCAGTATATGCAAAGATAACTAGGAGGATGCTTCATATTTTATACTCAAATGATTATTTCTTCAGCTCATAAAACAAGAGTGAGATGAATATCAAGTTTCAAATATATTTCCTTCCATATATTCTCGAAGATGAATGAAAAAGAAGAAAAAGAAAAAGGTGTTACATACATTGGAAAAGTAATACTTGTTGGCAAGGTGATATCAATTGCAGGACAGAAGCACAAATGGAGGCACACAAGTACATATAGATCTAAGGAGTAAATAATAGTCCTATCGTTCATGATATTCAGATCAGCTTAATATAGCCAAGTGAACAAAAGCTAGATTTATCCAAAAGTCACACACCGTAATAGAAACTAAACATTAACTCATCACGAGTACTAGCCAAGGAGGAACTTGTGGTTGCTGGTACTTTAGTTGTTCAGCCCATAAAATCATCAACATAAGTATACAGAACAAGGATAGAAAAAATGGTTGATTAACTAAAGCCACTTTAAAAAAAAATACAATTACATACCAAAAGCATGCTTTTTAGAGAATTCCATAGAGTTGGTAGGGGCTTTCCATAAACAACCTCACACTCCGCTTCTATTGACAAATTGGTGTATCTGACTTCAATGGCAGACAATTTTACACCAGCTCTGAAAAAATCAAATAGAATCCTTAATCCTGTGACCTTATTAAACTTGCAGCAGCTATATATATGGTACAAGAAACAAATTAGAACACCTGAATGAATTAAAAAATGGGAAAAGACGACAATGTACATAGTTATGGATGGTCGTGGAAGTATAGTAGAAAGTCAATTTAGCAATATATATTTCTTCATATCCAGAAGGAGAAGGATCTCACGTGTCTATTCTCTTTCTTATTTTCTGCAACAGACGAAGGTTATCATGTTCAATATGTTTAATGAGCTTCTCAATGAACATATGCCTTTCCGGAGCACCAAGTTTAGTCACATCAACTACTTGTCTTCCTCTACCATCAGCTTCATTTCCATCATTCTCATCAAACAAAGAAGTTCTTAATCGCTCAAATGTTGGCAGTCTATCGATTGCAGCCCATTGTAACACAGATTCATCATCAAGATCAACATCTTTTGCAGAACTTACAACTGAATTGTTTCGAAAACTTGTGGCATGACTCCGAAATGATGACCTCAAGCTTCTTCCTATCTCTGATAGCTCAATTCTGAATGATTCTATTTCATCTGCACCAACTAATTGAGCCATGATGATATGGACAATCTATTTTAGCTTCAGACCTGCATACATATACATATATATAGGAACACTGGATATAGAGGACTTGTACGGATTCTTTTATTCTTCTTTATTCTTACACATTTGCTTGGTCTTCACACTACGAAACTTGATGAGGTAAGGCCATGCATCATTCTTATACGGAGTAATGATTTTATAATTTAATTAAAAAAGGCGTTGGCATTATTAAATACAGAGTTGTAAAATCCATGGCCGTGAACTTAAATTACACTAGAAATACAAAACTTAAATCACAAGACGAATAAATAATAAGGTGTGGCATGGAAAATATGATGTCAATAGCGCCTCAATCTTGCATTTAGGGTAGGATACATTGAGAAACTTGTGTATATAAAATTTAAGTTTTCTCAAGTGTTGACTAATGCGAAATGATGAGGTAAGTTAATGCATCATTTGCTTCATCTGCTTATGCATTAGGCATTTGAAAGAAGAAAAAGAAATTACTGTGTACAATAGTTAATAGAATTTTCACTTTTCAGTTAAGGTTCATGCCTAATCGTGGACTTCTACCATGCTTCTAGTGATTTTAAACCAAATCCGGCATTGTTCCAGGCTTCCAGCCTTTGAAGTTTGAACCATTTCTAGTGGCAATCTAGAACATATATAAAGCATGGCTCATGCAGCACCAGCAAAAATAAATAAATAAAATACATCAGTTATGGTCCACATCTAAGCAAAAACCATTCCACCACCTTAATATTGAAACTGATTCTCACTACTACCCTTTAAATAAACTATCTTTTGATTCCGTTGAAAAAAATTATATTCTCGATATTATCTACATTTTCTTTCTCGTTGATCCCTACATATAAAGATAATAAAAAATGGTCCACGGCGAAAAAGGCATGGTATCACGCCGGGACTTGTCCATCCACCAATGGGTAAAGGCCACGTCAACAAACGGGAAGGTGAGCCGTACAAACCATTGCGTTAGCACCTGTACAAATTAGCCAAAAAAAATTTGTATTTAACCCAAAAGGAGAGACTCGCGCCAAAAAGATTTAGGGTATCAGCTTAGTTAATTAATTCTTCTGATGAAATTCAAATTTAGAGATAATTATTGTTTCTTACAACACGTCCGCCAGAAATGATCTCCGCGGTACGCCGCCAACGTTTTACCCATGAAGGGGGATGCATGATGGCGGGCGGCGGTGCCGATTCCACCCGAGGCGTGCCTCTGTTTTCCAGTGTGCGTTCACTGATTTTATTTTATTTTATTTTTTACCTAGTTTTAGGATTTTTTACCGAGATATAAATTCTTTTGGGTAATATCTCCAATAGAATAATGCTACAACAACAGGGCTGTTTCACAAGCTTTTTGGCAAATGTGTCACCTCCGATATACCCTTAGAGGGGACTTCGTTATTTCGCTCTAAGAGCTCCGAGCATGACCAGAACTATAAATTTTTTAATCTTCTTTTCCATCATCTAATCCAAAAATGCCACCTCTCTGCTTGTGAAACTGCCCCATACGTATGGCATTTTTCTTTCCAATGTGTACCGACTAAAACCGTATATTGGAGGGAATTTTTCCCTCGACTATCGAACTTTTGAACCATTTGATGATGGAACCTCTCTTTTTTGGCACCCCAAGTCCTAACCCCATGAAAAGGTTCTGACAGCAACTATTTCTAACGGAAACCATTAATTTGACTGTTGGAAGTTAAAATTTTATTTTTTTTAAAAAAAGAATGTTCTATCATTATATCAATGTAATAAAATTAATATAACATTTTGATAATAGGTCTTGAACCTTCGTTTTTGGCTCCTGGATCTCCCGACTTACGCAATGTGTATGACTATCATCCTTTACAGATGGAAATATTAATTTGACTCTTCAAATGTCAAAAATTTATTTAAAATACTGATTATTTCTTCTTTTAGTATAATAGAAATATAAATAAAATAAACAAAGGAAAGGAAAGAACACATGAAAAACAAAAAAAGAACGAAGAAAAAAGACTAATCCTACAGAAGACGCCCACCACCTCGCACCTTACTCCACAAACCTCCCATTCTTTGTGAGAAAACCTTTTTTTGCATGTACAACCAATAACACTTTGATTCCACGTCGTAATAAATAAGCGAAAAAAATAGTATTTCTTTCTTCGTTTTTAAGGAAGAAAATAGAGGGAAGTTATGACACATTCACTAAAAAGCTTTTTCTTACTTTTGCTCTTGCTCTTTCTTTATCCGAAATATGATTCTCAAAAAAATAAAAACACAAATATGGAAACTATAGTTGCAAAATGTTTCCTAGAATGGTCAATTTTGAGATGACTTCTTTCTATACCTATGAATTTCATTGGATGTAAATGAACATTGTCAATAGGTTGATTATTTTGTTCTTGTATCTTCAAAAAGAAAGGGAAAAAAAAAAGAAAAAAAAAGGATATCTGAAAGTTGTTTCCTGAATTCAAAAGAGTGTATTTGCACACAAAATTTGAGGTCCTTTTAGATCTCCTTCTTGATCAATCATTACTGCAGCATTGTCGTCATATTGTATTATCATACATCTGTCACGTTTAAGTTATTTATAACTTCTCATCCAATTGTGTTGTGCTCTCCAATCGTGTTCGTTCCTCTCTTCTTCCTTACTTTGTGAGTCTTTGCGAAATAACTTTGGTGAGCAGGAAAAGAAGACAATATACACTTACTTGAAATCTCACTTATTAAATTCATTGCAGAAGACACTTTTTTTTTTTTTGAAGAAGAAGCTTTTGTTCCTAAATCAATATGAAATATTTAAACTCGATTCGATTTTTATACTAATATAGTAGCATATCAAAGAAGGGACATTTAACTATCAGAGCCATATAAATGTTAGGCATCTTGTTCGATCAAAAGGTTACATCTAGTACCAAACAGATGATTTAAACATTTTTTTTCAAGCATGAAACCTCATAATCAAAAGTAGTGAGTCAAACAAGTATCAACTGAACAAACAGAGAATAAGAGATTTTGAGTTTTTTGTTGATCATCGCCTTCCGAATTCGAACTAAGAAAAAAGGATTCGAAGTTACACAACAAGAAGGTCTTTTTATTAGATAACTATGTCCTTGAACTCAAGGTTTGAATGAGAAGGTTTTATGAACCACCGTGAGTTTATTCATGGTGTAAGTATTATTATATAGAATCTGTACAGCAATGAATATGGCAAGAATATTTGCATACAAGGTAGCATATAAATTACAATCTATTTCCTATGTTTAAAAGATTGTCCAGGATCATGAGGAGAGGATCTTCGAGATCCTTCCATAATCGTAATACCTCCTATGTTTAAAAGATTGTCCAGGATCATGAGGAGAGGATCTTCGGGATCCTTCCATAATCGTAATACCCCCCCCCTCCCCCCGCAAGCGTAGCGTATCAAAATCATGGACGCATAGCTTGGAACGTAGGAAATGAAGGTAGGTTGACCGAGACTCTTGGTGAATATGTCCGCAAGTTGTAGGTGACTGGGGACATACTGGATCTTGAGGTCTCCAGAGGCCACCATTTCCCTCACAAAATGATAGTCTAAATCAATGTGCTTGGAGCGTTTATGAGAGACTGGATTAATGGCAAGAAAAATTGAACTTTGATTATCACAAAGTATGATCGGAGGAGACAAAGTTGATACATGAAGATCTTGAAGGAGATGTCATAGCCATTTAACCTTGGAGGTTGTGAGTGCTAAAGCCCTATATTCAGATTCACAACTGGAGCGTGAAACTGTCGGCTGCTTCTTGGAGCTCCAAGACACTAGAATTTCACCAAAATAGATTGCATAACCAGAAACTAAGCGACGTGTGTCAGGGTAGCCAGCCCAATCGGCATCTAAATAGGCAAGGAGTTCCCGAGAAGAAGATGGAGTGAAGGATAATCCAAATCGAAGAGTTCCCTTGATATATCGTAGTATCCTTTTTACTGCCAGAAAATGAGAGATAGAAGGCTTGTGCATGAACTGGCTGACGACACTTACAGCATGAGTGATATCCGGTCGAGTGATGGTAAGATATTGGAGAGCTCCCACAAGCGACCGAAAGAGATGTGGGTCATCAAAATCGAGACCCATGGTGGAAAGATGCTGAGCGACTACCAAGGGAGTGCAGACCGGTTTGGAGTCAACCAAATGGGCACGCTGTAGGATTTCAAGAGCATACTTGGTTTGGCTAAGAAAAAGACCAGCAGAAGTGAGATGAGCTTCCAAGCCCAAGAAATAATTCAGAGATCCAAGGTCTTTAGTGGAAAATTCGCTAGTCAGCCTACAAATGAAGTCATCAAGGACTGTCGTGTTGTTGCCAGTTACCACGATGTCATCAACATAGAGTAATAGATAAATTAAGTCAGCACCCTTGGAGAGAACAAATAAGGATGAGTCAGCTTGACTGCAAACGAAGCCAATGGCCAAGAGAAAGGTGCTGACGCGATGCAACCAAACTCGTGGAGCTTGTTTGAGACCATAGAGAGCCCGACGAAGGTGGCAAACATATGAGGGATGTTTAGAATCAACATAACCAGGTGGTTGATCCATGTAAACTTCTTCCTACAAGAAACCATTAAGAAACGCATTCTTAACATCAAGTTGTCGAAAAGGCCAATTATGAGAGACATCCAAAGATAAAACAACCCGGATAGTGGAAGCTTTGACAACAGGACTAAAGGTATCGATGAAGTCAAGACCCGGTTGTTGTGTATAGCCCTTTGCAACCAAGCGGGCTTTAAGGCGGTCGACACAGCCATCCGATAGATATTTGACACGGAAAACCCATTTAGAGCCCACAACATTTGCATTGGGCGGTTTAGGTACCAAATCCCATGTATGATTTTTGTGAAGGGCCTGAATTCTTCATCCATGACTGCAATCCATCCAGAATGTTTGGCAGCAGATTTGAAGCCTTTAGGTTCGCGCATGGTGAGAAAAGATTCAAGGAGCCCAGAGTGGGGAACTATGCATACATGAGACCGGTGGATAGGTTTGAAAATGCCAGATTTTGCACGAGTTTGCATTGGATGGGTGCCAAGTGGAGGAGGCTGGCCTGAGCATACTTCAGCAATGGGTGCTGGACTGTCAGACGATATGTCAGAGTCATGAAAGGGACACGGCACTGTGTGAACAATAGGCACATCATCTCCAGCCTACAAAATAGACATAGGCACAAGACTAGTAGATGCATC